GGGAGAGGGGGGAGAATGAAAGAGAAGATGGAACTTTTTAACTTCAACAGAACAACAGCCAAGTCGTCCAGAAGTAAAAGTTGGACTGTCTGACTGAACTCCACTGACCACTGTACAGGTCAGCCGAGGCAGGATTTGAACCCGCGACCCTCTGATAACCAGGCCCATCCTCTTCTGTGGTCAGAGGGGAAGCGTCGTTCAGGAGACAAATGTTTCAGCGAGCAGTGACCGCAGTGACCACAGCCGTGAAGGAAGACCGTTACTGGAAAAGTCAAGTGTTGCTGAGCAGCTGTGGTTGTTGCTCTGAGGCTCGCGGCCCTGTGGAGGGACAGCAGAGTGTAGGAGAAGTGGACCACACCCTTCATCAGACTGATGAAACTCCTCCAGAGCCGCCGTTACATCATGACAGCCAGAGTCTCTATAATTAGCTGTACGCAGTGAAGTAGGTGGCAGCACTGAGTTAAAACCAGACGTTAGCTTGGCTGTTTGTTGTGGCGGCTAATAATGTCGGCGGTGACCTGAGGATCAGTCGGCTCGCTGCGTCCTGCGCTCATTAACGTTGGCCTTTACATCATCACTGGCCACGGTCCCAAAAAACACTGTTCCAACAAACATCTGTCCCAGCAGACTGGCTAATTAAAAAAAAAAAATCAGCTGAAAGAGGATTCTTATTGTGGAAGAAATAATTCTTCTGACAGGTGTTTGTTTGATTCAGCTCTAACAGCTGATAAATAAAAACAGAGGAAAAAAAGCTGTGGTTTAAACTTTAAATCAGCCACAAAATGACTTGTAAACCAGCAGCGTAACTGTATAAACGTTGGGTTCGAGACTCGGAGCTGACAGAAGATCTTTCTTCGTGTCTTTCTTCAATTCCTGTGAGTGTTAGTTTGGAGTAAATCTAAAAGATAACCTTTCAGTTGTTTTGACAGTTGAGCCGTGATGTCCAGTTCATGGACTGGTTCATGAGTCACACTTTAAATCATCAACTAGAACTGGGTCAGAGCTGCAGCAGCTTCACAGTGGAGTGTGATTTCTGACAAATGTTTTAACAAAAATAATCACAGTGGAGTGTGATTTCTGACAAATTTTCTTTGTTTCGTTTCTATGTTTTAACAAAATATTCATTAATAAATGATAAGCTCCAGTCTGGTCTGTGGTGAAGGCAGAATAAACACGACGATGCTGTGACTCGGTTCGACTGAGTCACAGCAGCTGAGGACGAAGTTCTACTGAGGACTTTCATCCAAGTGTCGTTAATTTGACAGAGCAGAAAGTCCTGGAGTCAACGGAGTGTAAATTAATCTTCAATCCCTCTAATGTACGCTGTCAAGGTTGGACAACAAGGTCACTGGACTGTGTGTGTGTGTGTGTGTGTGTGTGTGTCTGCTGAGCCACACTTTCTTTATCTTCACTGAAGAAACAGAACGTCTTGGTCAAACTAGTCTGAGAAACTTCTCATTTGTTTTCATCTAAAACTCCCTCCAGTTTCTTTGGTTTCATTCTGATAATTCTTGCGTCTCAGCACAGACGCACCAGTTTCTTAGTTTCTTCCCTTCAGACGGCGAGGATGTGACAGAAAGGAATTCACTCTTCAAACGTTGGGACAAAGCCCTGGACTGAGTCACCGTGTTTAGTCAGGCACGAGTCAGCGAGCGTTTGGACTTTAACTCAAAGTTAGGACGCAGACGAGGAAGGAAGAATGATTCACTTGACGGAGGTAATGAAGAGAGGAGAGAAAGTGCAGCAACATCAGACTTCACCGCACTGACACTAGGAGGCGATGAATCACAGCAAAGTGATCACAAACAAATAGAGTTCCAGGAAAACCCGATTTGACTCACGACACCAGATCAGCTCCACCGGTTTGTGATGTTTTTTTAACTGTTTTACGTCACTTTACGAATTCTGAACTGAACAACGTAGTCGTAGTAACACAGTACTTCAAACAGAAGGTTTTACTGCAGTAGGGCCGTGTAGTAGGCGATACGATATATTGTGAAAACCCAATAGGTCTTCGTGTCCACTGTTTCCAGAACTTTCTCAATCTGGCTGCCAGACCTTCTTTAACGACAACGTTACTGTGATTTTCAGACATTCTACTGCTTCACACACACACACACACAATCACACACACACACACACACACACACACACAGAGGAGCAGTGACAGAACAACAGTTCCCACATCAGATGACCGACTCGTCCGTCTTTCTCAGTCAAGCTGCAGAACTGGGTCAGGAACAGGTTAAAGTGGTTCAGAACATTTGAGCAGCTGATGGTGACGTAACAACCACCTCTGGTTTTTACCACTTTCTCACTCACATTTTATTCAAATGAGCTCCACCAGGCTGCGGTGCCTGAGCTCCATCTGGACAACGACCACAGCTGCCAACACAAACACAAACACCAGGCAGAACACGGACCTCTGCACCAATCAGAATCCACGTTTTCACTACTGCAACACCAGAGGTGAGTATGGTCAAGAATCTGGAGATACAGTAGCAACAATACAATATATTGTCCCCCCCCCAGCGTGATCCTAGTCTCAGACTCTGCCCCCCCCCAGTGTGATCCTAGTCTCAGACTCTGTTCCATCTGAACATCAGTTCCTAACTCTGGAACAGAGGGATCTACATTTGGAATCACTAGAGAAGAAAGAAAAGAACAAGAACATGAACCAACACCAGGAATATTGGAGAAAATCAAGAACTGATCAATGACTGATCAATGACTGAGGACATTGATACAGAGATATTGTGAGACTTCAGTGTAGTCATGTTCTCTCTCAGCCAAATGTTAAAAGAGAAACACTCGACTCTCGGCCGGTTCGTTTTTCTCTCTTTCTCCGCGGCTGCTCTGTGGACTCAGAGATTCTGAGTCTGAATGCATTTGTTTTTCAAAAGGTTTCAACGCTCCGTTATCAACGCTTCACACCACTGACGCGAAGCCTTTGACTTCACATCAGGTAAAGAGACTGTAATCTGAAGAGTTCTGCTGCGATGCCAAAGGAATAGTAAACAGTACCAGTCGGTTCTGTGGTGATTGAAGTACTGTTTTCATGTCATGTTTTTATACGTCAGCCTCAGCTGGATCTGAGAGAAACAAAAACGATTTAATGTGATTCACAGGTCGGACTCTCGCTCTTCTTATTCTCTCTAAAAATGTCATTTAGTGACACCTGTGGTGACGAACGCAGCGGCTGAAAAATCTGAAAAAGAAATCCTTTCAGACAGAAACGGTGGTTTTGTTGTGTTGTAAAAGGACGGAGGAAGAAAAAGAAAAAAACTGAAAAAACATCAAACATTAATGGATTATTTCAAAGTTAAAAATTATTTTTCGTTTCTAATTTTCTGTTCTGCACTCTGTGGTACTTCTCTTACTGGACAGTAGGGGGGTAAGTGTGTACTGGTGTGTGTACTGGTGTGTGTACCTGGTGATACGATGTTAGTTTTTTTTAGTTCCTCTTTCTTTGGAGCTACCTGAACGACCGTGTTGATCCTGGACTCCAGGTCCTGTCTCTGCACGCAGCGGAGGAGCCGTGAGAAAAGCTGCAGCGTTTCCGCAGCAGGTTCTGGGTTCTGAGGGCCTGGAGCTTGGTTCATGTCAGCACATGTAGAGGGAGCGCTCGCTGCTATTTTCTCCTCTCTATAATTCTGCTGCCAAGAACAGTGTCATTTCATTGTCTGGAGAAAGTAAGTTATTGAAAGCACTTTTATTTTGGTGAAGCCGAGCCGACGGTTTTACTGCTGCGGTGAAGGAGTGTTTGTACTGAGGACGACCTCAGTCCAGGGCCGGGCGTGAAGATCCTGGAGGGAATCTTTCAAGTGTGTGTTTCTAACATTAGCATGTTAATGTGAGGGTGTCGCAGCAGGGCACACACACACACACACACACACACTCTGGTGAGATGTTTGACAGCAGGGCCGTTCTGACGGCAAACCTCAGCCCACTTCCCCGAATTTAATTTGCACCGAGTCGGTTCCACCTGTCAGAGAACAGGTTCTGAGGGTGAGGTTCGAGGAGAACACACCGGCATGTGGCGGCAGCACGGTGTGATGAACGACCGGTGAGCGTCTTTCACAGCTGAGTCCAAAGGAAAAGTCCAGGAAGAAGAAGGAGGAGAAGAAGAAGGAGGAGGAGGAGGATTAATTAAATCATCTTCAGTGAACTGTGTCTCCAGCTCTGTTTTATCTTCAACAGCAGCAGCAGATTTTAGCAGAATGTTCCAGACACCATGACTTGACTGACAGTTTCAGTTCACACGACTCATCGTCAGTCGAGGTATTAACGACGAGAGAAGAACGGACGGACAAACTGACGTGAAATTTGGCTTTAAGAAAAACATCAGTGGAAACAGCAGATACACAGTGAAGTCTGTTTGACTGGATCTTTACCTGGGATTTGAACCAGCATCCCGACCCTCAGTCCAACCGTAGCTCAGACCAACTGTGACTTTGAATGTGACTCTGTCTGATGACATCACTGACTCACAGCTGAATGGGACAGTTTGAACATTAAAGTATTTGTCTTGATGACACCTGACAGAGAGGTGGCGCTAATCAACGTATACAAGAGGGAATTTGGAAAAGTACTTTGAGAAACTTTAGTCTAGATTATTCAGTCAAACTAACGCAGTCACTCTGTGGAAGTTAATCATTTCCTCTGGTGAATAATTAAAAAACCTAAATATAAACAGAATAACAACTGACCAGGGTGACCAGTAACAGGACGTCTGTTGTTGAGTGAAGGTCACACACGAACCACCGAGTGTTTCTGCAGCTTCTGTTCACAGAACAAAGTTTGAACCATCATTAAAAACCAGGGAACTGTAACAGTGTCGTCAAGACGACCGTTCGCTCTGATTGGCCGCCTCGTCTTTCAAACAAGAACTCATCTGGTCCAAGTTTCTGTTGACCTGAAAAAACCAACACACTGAAGGGGGAGACGGAGGCCCGTGGACCGGTGCCGATCCACAGGTCATTTGGTACCGGACCAAAGTGAAAAAATGTCGGCACGACACCGCGGTCAGATAATTAGCCTGGTTCCTTTCATAAAGTGTCATGAGACACTGAGACACTGAGACGCTGAGACACTGAGACGTTAAGACGAGGCCTGAGACAAGAAGATGAGCAGAGATAGAGATTTCAGAAGTGAAACAACTGACACTCGACCACAGACTCCAAACCCGCTCTAAAGTCTCACCACTGGTCACATGACCCGTCTGTCTGTGTGTGTGTGTGTGTGTTCAACCACACGGGGAACAGATCCAACAACAAAGACTTTGGTTCCTTTCATAAAGTGTCATGAGACGCTGAGACACTGAGACATTGAGACATTGAGACGTTAGGACGAGGCCTGAGACAAGAAGAGACAATATTGGAGCGGTTGGTCAGAAAGTTTCACCAAACTGATTTCTACCACGACGGTCAGTCAGTCTGGAGCTCAGCTGCTGTGGGAGAAATCCCTGAAATACCACCGCTGAGGTGAGGAACTCCAGGGGGAACGCTGGGTCGTTGTCATGTAGGTGTACGTAAACATCAACACACTGAAGTATCTCCTGATCCCAGATCAATCTCCTCACTCATTGATCAGTTATTGGTTTTTTTTCTCTCCAATATTATAAAAAACAGAAGTTGACTTTTTTTTTATTTCAGATTTCACTTCCTCAGCAGTTAGACTTCTGTTCACCTCAGACAAACTGACTGCAGCTGCAGCTGCAACAATGGACCAGATGGAGGCTGAGGTTAATGATCAACCAGACCAGACCAGACCGACCAGACCAACCGACCGACCGACCAACCAGTGTTTTCTCTCCGACACCAAATCCTGCTTCTACACAAAGACTCATTCATGTGTTTCCAAAAACAAGACAAAAACCACTGGACCTCAGTTCATTCAAACAGAACCACAGAACCATTGTTTGTCCGTCAAACAAAAGAAGAGACAGAACTCGCCCCCCCCCACACACACAAACACACAGAGTAAAGAGTTCATTCCTGAGAAATACTCACAGTGTCTGTCAACCCCTTTAATGAAAGGCAACAGCTCTGATTGGCTGCTGAGAATTAGCACCCAACTGTCCTTCAGATGGCGCTCCAGCAGACC